TAAGAAACTATTATGTTGACTGTGAACTCCTTTCAGTTATGAATTGAGTATTTTCTATTTGTTTGGTGTGTTTCAAATGAATCACATATGGTGGTATTTATAGAAATTTTCGAATCTGAGAATTTACTAGGAAATTGCTAGGAAAAGTAGGTACAAAAATTAAATTCGATATTTTCTATCTAGTTCCTCTTAATTTCGTTGTAAGAAAACTCATTCCTCTTAATTTCGTAGTAAGCAATTACTAGGACTTTACGAGGAAACTGCTTTACTAGGAAATAGCTATGCCCGCATTTTTTTCCTCGTAAAGTCCTAGTAATGTTACTACGACTTTACGAGGAAATTGTTTTCTCGTAAGTATACGAGAACCTTACAAGGAAACATGGTTTCCTCGTAAACTCGAAGTAAACTCGTAGTAATTTTACGAGGAATTATTTTCCTAGTAAAGTTTCCTAGTAAATGCTTAGTTTTCTTGTAGTGTACGGTTTTTCTGCGAGTTACCTAATGATTTTTCCGCGAACAGCCTAGGGTTTTCCGCGAGTATCCTAGGATTTATTTCGCGTGTAACTTACGGTTTGTTCCACGGTTTCTGGGAGAGCAAGTTTTATTTTTCCGAAAGGTTCTCGGAAAACGCCTTTTGCTTAATGCGTGAGATTTGTCCAACTCGGAAATAAGAAAAACACTATGGGGTTTGATAGATTTTATCGTTTCCCTTAGTGATCTTAGATAGAAATCGTGAGCTTGTTTTGTTGCTCTTCCCGTGGCGAAGAGTCGCGATTAGGTTTTCGATTTTGTTGAGTGCTACAGTGTTTGCGTGTGCGTTGGCTGTACGAGTAGTCGCTGCTGGTGTTGTTTTACTAGCATTTTTGTGAGTTGCAACTTTTCCTTTCATTCATCCAGACATCGTTTTGGTCAAGCGTTTTGCGGCTATGAGTAAGAGTAATCCGCCCCCCCTCCTTCTAGCGCCAAACTGTGGGAACCGAGATTCACACTTGTCGATTTCCGTTAAATAAGGAAACTTAGGAAAACCCTAATTTCCTAGAGGAACCGGATCTCTGCTAAAGCCAACGACAAGTAACCAAATAAATGCGAAAATACGAAAACGTAATAAAACGAATTTAAAGAAAA